AAAAAAAAAAAAACTTTTTAAAAAATTGAGGGTATTTTAGTGTTTAATGGAGCATCTGAGAGCTGAGAAGGTTCTGCAGAAGGATCTTGGGTCATGTGTCACAAATGAAGGGCGGCTTTGTGCCTGAATGAAGCGGCCTCTCATCGCTGCTGCATTCACGGACCAAAGTGATGCAAGGCTTTAATGGACATCCACCCCCCCCCCCCCCCCCCCTCCCCTTTCCCTCGATCTGTGTGAAGACGTTGAACCACGGTGTCATTAAACACAGGTTGTTTAACTCTTTCACTGTGTGGCTTTAAGCAAATCTATTTTATTCCCCTCACGTTGCAAAAAAATGTTTTCAACTAAATAAACTGGGATGAATGACGTCATCAGACCCTGAATGTTTAATAAGAACCAACAGCTACAGCATAAATAATCTATAATAAAATTGAGGATTATTTTAGCTTCAAATCAGGCCTTTTTTAAGCACAAGAACTTTATAATTTTACATCCAAAGACATAAACTTTTATAGTGTTGAGCTCTTGAGTTATTGTCAAATTGATTCAAAATAGAAGCTCTCTAAAGTTTCCAGCAGACTGAATGGAAAACAACAAAAAAACACTCAAACATTTAAAGTTTGTTTGACTTGAATAAATGTTTTAAAATTCTCCAAATGAAACTAAAAGCTTCCTTCAACTTTAATAAAAAAATAGATATTTTTTGACTTCACAATAAAAGAATAATTTATTATACAAACCGTTCCGTTGCTTATGTGAAAAGTTGATTATTAAAAGTCATAAATTTGAGCACAGTGAGGATTTATTAGGTTTATTGATATTAAATATTTGTATTTACATGTTTTAAAGGAAAATAGACTCTGTCAGTTTGTTGGCAGTCAGCTCATCTCTTCCCTCTGAAGAAGCCCTGGTCCGTGCTGCTCTCCCGGATGGTGACCGTCTGGAGGTTCATCGTGACGTCGGTCACCGTCACAGAGTCCAAGCTGCTAAAAGGGGGGGTCCAGGACTCGGTCTGGGGGGCCTCAGGTTGCTCCTCGGGGTGCTTCAGCCGGCCGGGGGAGTGGATTGACACCAACCCATAAGTCCTGCGCCCCTCACTTTTACGCACACTGTTGAAGGAGCAGGGCAGCCCCCCCGCGTGCCTCAGCTCCCCGCCGGGTTTAGGTGTGATTGTGGTCTCCTCCTGGAACCTCCTGGTCAGCTGGAGGAGGCTCTGTTCCGACGTCTCCCCGTGATGGAGCAGGGGCCGTTCCGCCGACCCTTCCCGCGGTTCGTAATGGAACTTGGGCTTGCGCCCTCGCTTTCTGGGGAGCCGCGTGGACTCCTGGTCCGGGAGGGCTTCTGGCGGAGGGGGTCTGGGCCTCCTCTCTGGCTCTGGTGCGCGCACGGGGACACTTTCACCCCGGTTGACCGCGCTCGGTGGGAAGATCGTGGGAACCACGGCACGTAATCCTTCGCGGGCCCTCGGCGTGGCGACGGGCTCCGGGATGGGATAGGACACCTGGAACCCCCGGGGGGTCTCCCTCCTGAACTCGTACGTCCTTTCTGAGGCTTTGGCTTTAGCCTGAGGGAACGAAAGAAGGAAGCGTCTTTAAAGTGAAGGCCTCGACGGGAGAATGATCTCATTTCACCAGAGCAGTAAGACGGATTCACCTTGAGCAGGAACGTCTCGGGTTTGGGACCCCTCTTTTTGGGCCCGAACAGCTCCCGCTCACGCTCCCTGCCAACAAGCACAAACTAAATCGTTTTAGCTCGTCGTGACTGAATGTTCATGAAGCGTTCACGCTGTGACCCACTGTTCCACACGTTTTTCAGCATCTTTCTCGTTCCACAGTTTTCGTGCTATTACAACAAGTCATGTATCAAAACATTCAGCTCGTTAGGAGAAGGGTGCTGTCACTTTTGGTACTGGTGCAACTTTAGCTTTTTGAAGTATTTAGCTTTTTCTGCCACTTTTTTCCTCATAGAAAATGAATTGAGCTCATTTTACATCCTTCAAATCTTTAGATGTGTTTACAACTTTTACGGCTCCATTCACATTTTGTTCTGCTTCAGCTACTTTCAGCTTCCTTGTGCAAATGTAATTGGGTTTTTTTTTCAGCTGTTTTGTGCTCCTTTCAGATTCTTTCTGCTAACTACAACGTTTTTGTGCTTCTTCTAACTTTTTTCTGCTAATTTCAGCTTGTTCTGCTCCTTTCAGTTTATTTATGCAAGTTCCAGCTATTTCAGCTATCATTTAGCTGGTTTTATGCTAATTTTAGCTTTTTCAGCTAATTCCAGACATTTTGCACTCATTTCTACTTTTTTCAGCCTAATCCAGCAAAAATGTGCTCTCTCCACTTCCATCTGGTAATTTAAGCTTTCTGCTGTTTTGTCTACATTTCAGCTGTTTTGTTTGTTTGTTGCTAATTTCAACTTTTTTCAGATAATTTCCACTTTTTTTTTCTGTTCTCTGCTTCTTTAAGCCTAATTGGGCAAACATGTTCTTTCTGCTTTCTTCTGCTAAATTAAGCTAGTTCTACCTTTTCAGCTACCTTTATATCATTTATTAACTAATTTTAGTTGTTTTCAGATAAATTCAAGTTTTTTGTGCTAATTTTTGCTACTTTCCACCTAGTTAACTTCTTTACGCTATACAGCTTGTTATGCTCCTTTCAGCTGTTAGTTTGTTATTTCAGCTACTTTTTAGCTGTTTTGTGCTAATTTTAGCTTTTACAGCCAATTCCAGTTTTTTTGCACTCCTTTCAATTATTTTCAACCTAATTCAACAAAAATGTGCTCTCTCCACTTCCATCTGGTTACTGAAGCGTCTTTCTGCTACTTTTATACAGATTTGTTTGTTTGTTTTGCAAATTTCTGCCTTTTTTCACATAATTTCCACTTTTAGTGCTCATGTCTGCTTCTTTAAGCCTAACTGGGCAAACTGTTCTTTCTGCCTTCTGCTAATTTGTTCTTCCATTTCAGCTACAATTCTGCATGTTTTTTAAGCTAATTTCAGCTGCTTCACAGCAAGTTTTTCTGCAATAAGCATTCACGCTGCATGTTTGCAGTAAATGCAATTTCTACTTATCTTACTGTCCATAAATAACTCCATTTAACATGTTAATCCTTAAATTAAACACAAACTTCAAGCAGAAGCACTTTATTCCTCCTCTAAAGGTTTTGGGGTGAAAAGAGATTCTCATTAATCTACTGAAGCTGACATTTTAGCCACTTCTTCCTGCAGAGATTGTGCGCGCGCCCTCACCTCTCCTCGAAGGCAGCGAAGAGGCGCGCGTCCAGGATGTTCTCCTCCGGCTCCCAGGTGCTGTACCTGCGTCACAACACACACAACGAGACGTGGTGAGCACCAAACGCGCGCGCACACTCGCACTTTGATCATCATCATCATCAGAAGACGAAGGGGCAGCGCGCAGAGACGTGCGGGGGGGGGGGGGGGGGACAAGCCGAGGCACGTGAGCAGGACACGCAGAGCGCGTGAAAGTGCAGACAAACACAGCATGCACGGGCAGTGATGGTGCAGTTGGAGCCGGTGGCCAGGATGGAGCGCTGTGCCCCCCCCCCCCCAAAAGACACTCACTTCTGAGACCAGCCTTTCCATTTCACCAGATATTCCCAGCGTCCCTGCGAAAACAACACGTTCAGGTTACAGCGCAACCGCCCGCACTCACACACGCACACGCAGGAGGAAGCGTACCCGTCGGATCCTCCGTTTGATGATGGACTCCGCCGCGAACACGCTCTCTCCGACCGCAGACAGCTCCATGCTCCTCCGCGCTGCTCTCTGCCTCCTGCTTCTCGATTATTTTCAAGGATATTTTTTTTTTTTTTAGCCCCACACTCCTCCTCCTCCCCGACTTGTTTTAATTCCGCACATCCCATAATAAGACGCACAGTGGCGCCGACGTCATCACGTCGCTGTCTGTTGCCAGGCGCCGCCGCCAGAGGAGCGCATTGGCTCACGTTGTTGCTACGTGCTCCGGGTCTGCGAGGGGGAGGGAGGGGGAGAGGGAGGGGGCGGGCCCTCGCGCGCTGCTGTACAGGAATGTCCGCTTGGCGCAGCCGAGCAAGAGGAGGCCCCCCCGGAGCGGGGCCCCCAAAGCGGAGCAGGAATGCTTGTCAAAAATAAACGAAGAGACTGTTTATTAATAAACAAATTCATAAATAAATATCCGGTTTTATGTCCCATTAATCTGAGCTGCGTCACTTATATTTATTAAAGCGCGCGCCGCAAACACTTTTATTTATTTATTTTACTGGATTCTGAGCCTCACAGCGTTATTAGTTTAAATGTTGTTTGTCTTCGTAACGTGAACATAATAAATGCAGCTGTCATATTTAAGAGATTAAAGAGGAGAATATAAATATGGAGGTGCGTTTTTAGAGGAAATGATGTGTTTGAAGTTCGTCGGATTTTAGAGATTTTTCCTCTTTTTATCTGTAATATTTAGCAGTGAAATGTGAGATTGGATTAGATTATTATAGGTTTATATATTAATAAAAGTTACATGATCAACAAGAAAAAGCGACTTTATGAAATAATAATTCATGTCAAACCGTTTTTGTGCAGCTCCACATTTAGATTTTAGGTTGTAGAGAAAAATATATATTTTAGAGTTTATTCAGACTGCCGGCCGACAGAAAGATTATTATTAATAATTATGTTTTGTTCTTAATTGGAAGCCCGACCTGCTGAATCTTCTCTGGATTTCTGTGAAACTTACAGAAAAAATAAAATAATAATTTAAAAAATTGTTCGTTTTTAGATGAAATGTAAAAAAAAAAAAAAAAAAAAAGCACTTGTGGATATTTGTTTATAAATTAAAGTTTTATTTAAAAATGTTCTTATATATATTTTTGAACCAGTTCGATCTTCTCAAATTTACTGCTAATTATTTGAAGCAGCTGTTTGATCATTAACATTTTGCAGTTAAAAATGAATGGTTAAAAACACGTTTTATTTTTTATAATAATAATAATAATTATTAATATTTTATTATGAGATCTATTTGTGTTGTTCTTGTTTAAATGAAATAGAAAAATATATTTTATGTACAAAAAGAAACCGTTTAATTTTTTTGTTTTTATTTTTTATTATTTTTCTCGCAACTTTGCACAACTCACTAATAATCCCTGACTTAATAAAATTAAAAAACATAAAAACAATAAAACTTCTGATTGTTCTGCATCTTGTTGCACTGAGCCAAACAATAAATGTGAGTTTCCTCCCGACTGTCACGCGCTCTTCTTTCCATTTTCCATTCAGGATGAGAGACTGCGACGAAGTGAAGCTTCAAAACCATAATTACATTAATAACTTTATTAATTGTCTTGTTTATGCACGTGCATGTTTTAGTACATAAATAAACTGAACGGAAAGATTCAAGAAGACAACACAGATGCATGAAGCTTCATCCAGTTCAGGCCTGCAGGAGGTTCTGCAGATGACCCGCCAGAACCCAGAACCTGCAGATGGTTCTGCTCAGGTGATGCACCTCAGTCTGTTTAGATTTTATTTAGACCTCATGACAGGTTGTGTTGAGTTTTCACCCTGATCTCAGAGTGGATTTTAAAGGAATGGTATAAATGTGTAATGATTGGATCAGAACCACCTTAAACGTCCTCTGTGCGCGCGCTCTGCTCAGCAGGATCTGCTTTAGAATATAAAATTACTGCTGATATCATTCAAACCGGGGCGTAGCCTGCTGGGTGCGCATGCACTCCTCTCTCTTTCTTTCTCTCCCTGCCTCTGTTTTCTCTTAATCCCTCCATCCTGCCTGTGATGGGGACATGTCCTCCTCGGCTCTGTCCCCGCGTGTCCCCCGCAGCAGAGCAGACAAAGAGGCGCGCGGACAAAAGACGCAGCGCCGGGACATGAACCACCATTTTGATCCGCGCGCAGCCAGACCGACATTTCCTGTCGGTGGCAGCGCACGGCTCGTGCAGCGGACACACACGCGCGCGCGCGCACACACACACACACTGCTCTGCGCGTCGATGGAGGAGCCAAACAGCAGCTCTGCTGTGAGGACATTGTTGGCTCTGGGCAACTGCTGCGCAACTTTACAGCACGCGACACGTTCTGCTGCAAAACAAGAAGAATAAATTACAATAAAATAAAATAAAATAGAGTGTGTCGCTCTCAGCTGCAGGTGGGATCATCCGCGGCCTGATGGACGCCAACACGCACAGACATAAAAGAGGAAAGTTCCTCCAGGAGGTTTTGTTCTGCTGGGCCTGCAGCTTGCTCTGTGCAGGCTGCTGGGAGGGGGGGGGGGGGGGGGTATGTGAAACATCACACTTGGTCTATAAATATGTTCCCCTGCTGCTCAGAGATGTTTCACTTTCCTCCTGACTCATAAAGCTGCTGGAGACGTTTACCTCCACGTGCGCGCTGAAGCTCTGGGTCCACGTGGTCCAGGAGCTGGATTCATCTCGTTTTATTATTATGTAGCTGGAAGGAGTTAATAAATTAATACACTGCATGAAATGAATCTGAGCTTTCTGGATTTTTTTTTATTTTAAAGTCATGAAGAACAGAATACTTATACTGTTTATTTTTGCATTCTATATTTTTGCTATAACTGGGAACCAGTACATCATTTTGTTCCACCTCATGTGATGTGAATGACATTGATGAAATTATTGACTTGAACTCGCAGGAGGAAAACAGTGACATAAGTCAAGTTTGAACTGAAAGTTTGAATCTTGAGTAGCTTCTAATCTGCAAATGCCTGGGGGCCCAAGACCCCTGGGGGCCCAAGACCCCTGGGGGCACTCCTCAAATATTTCACTATGTGAACAACAAACACAAGAACAGGGTGCTCATTCTAAGCGAGCATTAAAAACAAAGTTCCTGGTTAACCAGAAAAGCCCCAAAACCTGCAGGCGTCCCCTAACAGCCCCCCCCCCCCCCACAAAACCTTTAAGTGAACTGAACCCAGAAGTCGGAGAGAAACGTGCACTTTTAAGTCGCTTGACTTATAAAACTGGGAGTAATGAGCATTAATGAATAAGATACAAGTTTATTATGGATAAAAATAGGAGAAAAGTGAAGGCCGAACGTGTTTCAGTTTGTTTGACACTCCAAATAAACCTGTTCATAACCACTAATGTCAGAATCATCATACAGTTTAAAAGATTCAGAACTTAATTAACTTAAAAAATGACACTTATCTGTTTCCAAAGCTGTCTTTTCTGAGTCAACATGCTTTGATATAAATCAGTCAGAAACACACCTCGCACACATTCCTGGGCCTTTCTGTCCGCACAAAGCGTTCACCGCTCCGCCCGGCAGCCTCAGCTCTCCAAAAAAACAAAAACAAGAAAAAATCTATTTCTGTCTTCAGTGACCTTTGATTATCAAAGGCAGGGAGGGGCCCTGCAACGCTGGGCCGAGTGAAATAAAGGTCATTTAACGTTCTTCCTATAAATCTGCACCTTTCCTGTGTTTCTTGCTGTAGCTCTGCTGTTTTAACAAAAAGGAGTTTGGGAGAACTGCTGTGTCACTGTGACACACTCAGCCTCTTTTAGAGCAGCTTGGCCAATGTTCTGGAAAACGACGTGAACATCTAGCAGCTACGATGTAATTAAATGTCACCCTGACACCTTCCTCTGCGGCACTGAGCTGGAAAACAAGCTCACAGTCCACAGTGGGCGATTATTTACCTCCCAGAGAGGCTTCCTCCACGACGGAGTCAAAGAATTACATAACTGCCTCTCCTGCGTTTACATTCCTGCTCGGGGTCACGGCAAAGTGGAAAAAACATAAAGGTTTTTAATAACACGAGTGACCGGTGGCTGTTACGCAACACACAGAGCTCTTTGTGCAGGATTGTTTGGAATTATGCAACACGATCCATTTTCTCATGTGAGCCTCGTAAAAAAAAAAAAAAAACAAGTGTTTCATGTTCCCTTCTGAGCAAAGACGGATTATCTTGTTCGATTATGAAACGTTAACCCCCCTCTCCCCGCAGAACGAACAGCTCCCCTCATTCAAACAGCGGCGCACCAACATGTCAGAGGTCAAATCTTTATTGTGAAACGTCCAAGAAGCTGAGCAAACATCAAGCTGGCTGATACACTCTCGAACAATCATTTCCACGCTGGCACGAAAGAAGCGAAACAAAAAGGAAGCAACCGACAGAACGAAACGCAGGAAGCAGCTTCTGCTTTTCAACAAAACATCCAAACTCTTCTTTTATAGCATTCTGACTGGGTTTGCATTCAGTGTGCAGGAAGGGAACTCAGCAGCTTAGAGCCAACAGCTTTGAAGTTTCAGCAGCATGATTAAAACAGCTTAGACTCATTGGTTTGCCTGTAACAGGATTTAAAGTCACATTTAATCTCTATAACACACCTTTTTAACGACCCTGGTATCGGTTAATAATAGATTATCTTGTCAGCTCCAGCAGCTAAATGAGATGAGACCCTGCACTGAGCGAGGTAAACAATAACTTCAGTCCAGCAGAGCATCTGAACCGGAACAGACATGTGATAAATGACTTTTCTTCTTAAAGGGACTGAACGGTGAGATCGTGACTCTTATTTTACTCCGTAATGGGAAAAAAAAATGCAGCTGACGATGAAGAAGCAGAGAGAGACTGTTCAGCTGCTTGTTAAATTTGCAAGTCATCGCTAAGATAAATGTCTTTAAACCAAAAACTATCCGCCGTCAGGATGCCAGACTGTTCTAATTAGGGATGCACGATATTATCGGCATGGTATCGGTATCGTCTGATATTAGCGATAAAGTTAAATATCGGCCATTCCATCAAAATGACTCAAAGATATAAAAGGCGCTGTTTTTGTATGACAGCAGAGCCAGCACAACGTGATGACGTCACGCGTGCTGTTGAGTTTCGATTTGTGAAAATTCACAAATTTGCACTGTTCGGGTGTTGTCGTTGTGTTAGAGAGTAAACGTTAAGAATAAATTTGACATTAAGCATAATCCAAGTTGAAGTGTTACATCATTTTCAGCCCCCTTTTTGGCATCTGCACTGGTAGCAGGCCTAACTGACAAAGACCAAGCAGAATAACATGCAGTCTCTGTAAGTAGGTTTAGGGAAAAATAATGGTATCGGTTATCGGCCAAATAAGTTTTAACATATCGGCATATCAGATATCGTCCAAAAATCCAATATCGTGCATCCCTAGTTCTAATGATAGTGAAAAATAAAGGAATAATCTGTGAATACGACACGAGCGGCTCCGCCACACAAGCAAACATTCAACTCAAACGCTTTAAACTCCGTCTCGGCCAAGTTTCTCTACCATCAGGACCAAAATAAGAGCATATTGATACAAAACATCTATAAACCTTCAGGTTATAAGTTTGGTAAATGTATATAAAAAAAACAACAACGTTATTGTTTTAAGCTCCATATGAGAAATAAATGGATTTTGTTTCTTTTTTTTAATGTGGATGCATCTCCACCTAATCTCAAACAGTCGAGGCCAGCGTCTTGGCGACGACGTCACAGAGTATAAAACAATGTAGGAAACATTTGAAATGTCAGTTATAAATTATAAATTTCAACATATACAATTTTATTTGACGTTTTTTTTTTGTGTTTGCTTTCTTTCTCTTTTACATATGCACATATATAAACAAGCTCGTCCGGCTGCTGGTGTCTTAGAAAGGAACGTACTCCTTGAAGGTGACGGTTAGACTGTTCGTCGTGATGTCGGTGATGATGATGTTTCCCATAAAAGGGGAGATTTTTTTGGCCGGTGGCTCTTTAGCTTTTCCCGTGGATTTCAGAGCGTCCTCGTTCTCTGGCGGCGTGTCTTCGACCGCAGGCTCAGGCTTCGGCGGTGCTTCTGTTTCAGCCTGCTTCCTGTTTCTGGGACAGCTGAGGTCCATCGGCTCCTCTTGGCTCCCCTCCGCCTCATGCGTAACGGTGCTGCAGAGGCGTGGGCCGCTGCAGTGTAGGTCCATGGGTTTGTCCTGAGGCGGTGCCACCGCGCTGCACGGCACGCTCAAGCTCCTTGACGTCAAGAAGACTTTGCCAAAGTTCCTGTCCTCGACCGGATCCGAGAGCTTCCGCTTCCGGTCCCCGGGGAAAGAGGGGATCCTAATCTGGTCGACGGCTGTAGGTGTCGGGATGTTGGTGTCAGCGGTCCAAGATGTCGGGGGAGAGGTGGCGGTCAGCTGCAGAGGCAAATCCTCCGGTAAATCCGCTTGACCCCGAGCCACTTCGGTGTTGTACTCCTCGGCCGTGCTCGGCGACGGCTTGGAAAAGTGTCTGTCCTTCGAGGAGCACTTCATGGGATGCTCAGCCACAGAGAGCGGCCTGCCATCGCAGATCTCTTTAGGAATACCGTTCTCCGGGTGTTCGAGCGTTTTGGTCCTGACTGTTGAATTGTCCTCGAACGGTTTAACGGTTTGCGGCTTCTCTTCTTTTGACGTCTCTCTGTGTTTGTCCTTTGCACCGTGGACTTTGCTGCTGTCCATGTATTTGCTCATGACGATAACGATACGTCCATTCTTGTTCTTATTCTTGATTATCTTCATTTTGCTGCTGATGGCACTTTGTAGCATAGCGTCTTTAGTGTTGGGTTTAAGGCCATGCTCGCTCTGCGCCTCTGGCTTCCTCACTTCCACAGCCAGCTCTTTGACTTTGCTCAAGCAGCCAGTGTCTTTGTCACGAATCCATTTCTGCTGCAGGGCCAGAGGCAGGTTCCACCCAGGATTAGTGGGTTTACTGGCTGGTTCCTGAACTTTGACCACCTCCTTGAGCCTAGAAGCCTGTGTGTCGTACATATGTGGGTCAGGCTCATAGTGGTGGTGCTTCTTGCTGTTCAGCTGATAGATGAACTTCTTTCTGCTGTTGGCTAGCTGGTCAGCTGGCACTTCCTGGCTGCTGGGCTGGTACTGATGGTGCTTCCTGCTGTTCAGCTGGTACTGCTGAGGCTGGGGCCGCTGGACCTGGATGGGATCAGGTTTAAGAGTAGCCTCTGCGTCCTGAGATGTTTCCTCAAAACCTGCTGGAATGCTTGACCTTCGGGCAAATGAGGGCACCTTAAAGAAAAGAAAAACATGGCGTTTTATTATTATTGACATACATTTGTCAAACACATCTGGAAAACTATCAAACACTGTGACCAAAGCTAAGGATAAAGTTTTATTTTTTGGGGGGGAAAAGTATTTTATACTTTATTGTCTTAAGGTGTATTACTTTTGGTATCATTGTTGATTTTTTGTTCTGTAAGCGGAAAAGAGACAAAGCTACCGGACCTTCAGCAAACAGACATTTCATCTGTTTATGTTAAAGGAAATCTGCATCAACTGATGCTGTTTCTACTTCTTGAAGGGGTTTCCCATTTTGTAGCAGACTATTTTACCCCCCTCTGCATTTTGACTTTGAATTTGGGGCCAAAGGGACGTTGAAAGTGTAGATTTAAAGTTATGACATTCAAGCTAAAAGATGCTGCGATGGTATAAACAGAAGTGATGGTCTCAGACATCTGCAGCCCCATTAGTCTCCAGAATGCTCGACTCTTAACTAAATCTATCAGGTTTAAAGCCTCCCTCCCACCACACCTCCTTCCTCCTCCCCACTCCTTGTGTACAGACTGACCCTGCAGCCGTCAGAGAGGCGCTGCAGCGGAACGCTCAAGACGCTGCGACCTCGGGTCACCGAGGTGCCACAAGACATGTCACGCTTTAGTCCTGATTTGCGGCCACGTGCGACTCTGCCGCGTACAGCACGACGATCGGAACGAACTCCAAAGATGTAAAAACTACACTTTCAAAGCTGCAATGAAAATGCACTGAGAAGAAACAAGCCATGTTTTGCACCTGAGCCCGTTTCCCCTGCAGAAAATAATGATCCGACAGATGAACCGAGTGCATTCAGGCGTTGCACTTTTGAACCTCACGCTTTCAGGTTGACTGCGGAGGTAAAACCAGCTGTGGCTTTTTTTTTTTTTTGTCTCTTTAAGGAATCTGCTAATAGACATGGCCACAATGGCAGCAGCAGGTGTGACAGAAATGACTGGAAGGTGAAACTCAAGACGTGTTTCAGTGATTCAGGATGTTTCCACAATGTGGTGATAAACCATCGATAAATACCTGAAGCAAAAGATGTTTGGGTTTCGGTCCTCTTTTTCGGTATCCCATCATCTGCTCCTGCCTCTCTCTGTGAAAAGAAAACATGGTTATTTTGCATCACAGGCACCTTAAAATCTATATTTATTATTGCTTAAGATATTACACGTTTGTTAGTATTCACTTCTATTCAAGGTCGAAAGTGGAACAGGGATTCAGAGGACTAATGAATGCCCACATGTGGGCCGCTGCAAAGCATTGTGGGCCTTATTTGCATAGCTCTCCATGGTAATCGACCCATTCCATATTCTCATTATCCCGGAGAAATTCAATTAGGGCTAGAGCAGGGAAAATCTGCCCTCGCCTTTGAAACATCCAGCCTCCTGAAGCACATCCTTCCTCAATCTTTAATTAGAATCAGGAGGTACAAATGAAATATTCCTAAAGTACGTGTGCACAGGTCTTGTGTTTGTTTGGAAGTGGACATTTAGAGTGTTATTGTAGCCAGACTGATGGAGGACTGTGCTATTTGTGAAGAACTGGCCCCTGATATAAGCCTTGACTCAGCACCGGCTCATAAATAACCAGAGGTGGGTGAAGGCCAGCTGTAAATATGCTTCCACCAGGCGGGCTCGGGGAAAAACACCCCCCTCGTGTTGGCCTCTCGTTACAGATGTTCAAAACGATCAGAGCTGCCAGAAAATTGCCACAATAAACAGTCTGCCTCGGTGTGATGCGTGCAATTTTAAACCGGCGTCGAACAGGGTGACCCTCATTCACACAAGATTTGGCAATTACAGACTCCCCTCGTCCAGTCCCCTCCCCCCATCCACAGGGAGCAGAGAGGAATCCACACACAGAGCGGCGAGGCAGCTCTCCATGACCATCAGCGCACACACACACACAGGCAGGCGGGGGGAATATGAGAGCTGTACACTGGAAACGCTGAGGAGCGCTGTGTGTCAATTAGCCTTTTCAGAAAAGCAAATTCCTTTCCCCAGCCATCATGTCTTCGCTCGGTCCCGCGAGCACACTGCGGCCTACAGAGAGAGGAGCTCTCACTCGGGCCTCGTGGGTCCAAACGAGACGAGATGACAGCCGTATTGGAATTCATTAACATCTCAGCCGCTGACGTTCACACATGAGCAGCTCTGGTTGTTGTCCAGCGCTTGTGGTAAACTCGAAACCCTCGACGAGTCAAACGCAGGCATCCAGGGTGAAATACTTTCAGCTCAGTTGAGGTCTTGTGTCCACATATGTGAAGTAGAACAAAAACTGTGCAGCTCAGACTGTTGGAGGGGTTAAAGCTAATCCACAACAACTTGTCTTCAGTAACTCATCTTCTACATCCCCACCTGCCTCAGCCTTGCAGGTACCAGTTAATGGATCTGCTGACTTTGATAGGTCAATATTGGTCACTTTTATTTATATTCTTTTAGAAAAACATGACAATTGATCATATGCATTCTATTACCAAGTAAATGAAGATGGAGCAGCTCACAATAAGCAACGATGCTCTTCTCTGTTATATTTAATGTTCAAGTTCTCTTAAGGGTTGGCAAAGATGCATTTGTTTAAGTTGGGCATCTATGGTCATAATTATTAAATAAAAACCATTAATTAAAAAAAAAAGCCATTGTTCATCAGCAGATTAAAATGGATTACCAGTCGACTTCTCTCCAAACCAGTAACTGGTTAAAAAAAGGAGTTATCCTCTGAGGGGTGAGATGTCGCTCTGGTGAAGTTAAATCCTCTCAAATGAAACATTTCTTTCTCAGGTTGGATCTGATCTGACTCCCATGTTCTGTTTGTCTCCTGCAAGGCTGAGGAGAGACAGCGGGGAGGAGGGGGGCTGCTGGGTCACAGAGGTACTGGAGCGCCCCTCCTCCCATGCCCTTATATGGTCATGGTTGGAGCTGGAGGCTGCGCGGGCCTGGTGCGAAGTCCGCTCTCACCTGTGCTGGAAGGCTACGAGGAGGCGCGGGTCCAGGATGTTTTCCTCTGGCTCCCATGTGTTGTATCTGCGGGGGAGGGGGGGGGAGAAAAACAAACTGTCAGAGAGCTGTCACGTGCAGACTTCCCGTTTCAAACGCACATTCCCACATCTTCCCGTGGCGCCGCGCGCGCAGAACGGACAGGTGAAGCGGCGCCTGCGAACCATGAAATCCTCCGACACAAAAGAGCTCCTCTCTTATTTCACTGCACGCGCGGCACTGAAACAAACAACAGTTTCTCGCTCGCGTGCACGCGCGCGTCTCTCAGCAGTGGAGATGATCCAACTGCGAGCAGTAAAAAAAAAAAAAGAAAAAAGTGCGCGTATCCAAACGGCACCGACATGGAGTCGGCCATTTTAGCAGCGCTGCCTCGTAAACGCGCTGGCAGAGCAGAAATAATTAAAACGGGATTACATGGCTGTGCCTACTAACCCCCCCATCCACCCCACCCCCGCATAAATTAGTGAAGGCGTCCACAGAAACACACAGCGCGCTCTCCCATGCTACAAACAGCCGCAGATCCGCGCGTCCTTTTCCGTGCAACCCCCTCCCAGAATGACATGTAAAGAAGCTTACTTGGGGGACCAGCCGCGCCACTTCACCAGGTACTCAATCTTGCCCTGTGAAGGTGGAGAGAGGAGGATGAGGAAGAAAACAAACGAAGCTCGCGTCTTCCAGCATGCACGCGCCGCGCTCCTACCTTCCGAATGCGCTTCTTCTCGATGCCCTCCACCGCAAAGACGTGCTCTCCGGCGGCAGGGAGCTCCATGCTCGGCTCCGTCCGATCGCAGGGTGAGGAAGAGGAGGAGGAGGGGGTGAAACGCTGGTCACGCACCACTGATGTGCCCTCTCTCTCTCTCTCTCTCTCGCTCTGCTCGGTGCGCGCAGTTGTATCCAAATCCGACCGTGTATTCCCTCCACCCTCTCCGTCTCTCTGCACCCTCCTCCTCGGTCCTGGCAGAGGGAGATTCACAGCAGCTCTAGTTTTTTTTCCTTCTTCTTCTGGTGCTTCTGCTCGGTGCGTGACGTCAGGAAAGAGAGGGGGGGGGAGTAGGAGGTGAAGACCTTGCAGAAAGGTCCTATCCAAAGCGAGCTCCGCTGGTGGAGGGGTTGGGGGGTCTTAATCAGTTGTTGTTGTTTTTGTTTGTTTTTTTTAGATTGCAAGAAATTTGAACACATCACTGTTTATGTCAGGAAAGCGTTTGTCCTGCAGCTGGTGCAACATCTGACTCCTGGATCAAACAATGTGCCCAACTAGAAGAGAAATGATCATCTGTAAAATACAGAACTCTTCAGTCACGTCTCACCAGCAGACAAATCAAATAAACACGTTTTACGCAGAGTTTTGTACAAGGATCCTTGGAAGTGACCTCTAAAGATTCTCCATGTTTTAGACCTTTGTAGGGCAGCAGATCCCTCTGCTTTTATAGGTCAGGCGCAGTCTGATGGTGAACTTGGTGCCATGTCCTTTGTGCCTCCAGCTCACCTGTGGCAACTTTTCCCCCCAACGCCCAGATCTGCGCTCACAATCTGTCTCTAACCCCATTAGAGCAGCAGCTTACACCACATCAGCACTGAGCTCGTTATCTGCGCTGTAAATGTCAGGCCACGTGAAGACAAACAGATTTATGGAGAGTTTATTGGAAACATGAGCGCCCAAAAACATTAAAAAAAAAACGCGTCGTGCGCAAACCTCCCTTCTCACTGTGCGTAAAAACAGCCGCCGGGACCAAACCGTCAGGATGGTTTGGTTGTGGTGAGAAATCCGAATCAAACGAGCCGAAAAGCCGACGTTTTGCTGCTTTGCTCCAAAAATAATTCAGCATGACAAGGGTTAAACAGCAGGCTGTCAGCAGCGCGGCAGCGGCCAGCCTATTGCACGCAGGCACGATCTGCCTCTGCCCTGCCATATAAGGTCATGGAGAAAAAGCGCACAAATGCGCCTCTTTGCGCACGCTAATTCCCGACTTTGAGTCCAGAATCGGGTGGTGGGGGGCTCTCAGAGCGCACTGTCTCCAAACGCGTTCGATGAAAAGCTCTAATTTACGCACAGATTCCGTTTGTTTCCCTTCATCCGCGGCCAGGCAGCGCACACGCCCTGCTCCCCCTAGCAACAGCCTTAAAAAGAAGGACATAAAGACACAGAGAAATACATTTGAAGGTTTAAGCTCCTCATAAAACACCAACATCTGACTGAGTTCATAATTCTCTCTTTTTTTTTGTTTTAGCTTTTTGTCGTCCAAACAAATGGAAATGCGCAGGAGCTGCAGTTCTTCACTGTCAGCTTTTGTTTACTCTCCAGGTACCCAAAATACAAATTATGCGCCTTCTTGTTTGTACAGAACGGGAAGGACGCCTGAAGTCTGCGTCAAGACCCGGATCATGGTTTGGGGAAATCCTCTGACTCCCAGATTCTGGTTGCGACCTGCTCACAGCGCGGCGGATCTTTAGGATCTCATTAAGTCCAGCAGGAGGGATCTGGACAAACAACCTGAATCCTCACTTTAGTTTTCTACCTGCACCTCTCAGGTGACCAGAACTGCAGCAGCTCCAAGCTGCGCCTTTTTTAAGGTATTAAAAAAATAGTCTGCATGCGCAGGTTTCTCTAAAACATTCGATAACTTCCGGCTGAAATGAGCTCTGCAGAATCCGCCAGGCAAATAAAAACATTTAGAAATAAGAGGTGACCTGTGAGAACATTTTCAGACTCTTCCCATTTTTATTCATTGAGTTCCGACGCGTGAAAAAAGCCTAAAAATAGAAACTTCTCGTTTTTTAAATAAAGAATGATTATTTATTTTTTGTATCTATTTAAAAGGAGCAGAAAGTTCTCCAGTTTGTCTCGTCTTATTTCAGCTGTTACCTAAAACATGATGGCAAAGTCAGAGTTCGCTTCTTTATTTTTTTAAACTCTTGACTCTTGATAATCTGCAGCGTCATTTTAGCTGTTTAGTGCTTTTTAGCTACATTTAGCAACTTAGAGTGGCTAAATATAAAAATAAAGGCATTTTTTGTTAAAACATTTTAAAGGAGTTTCAGAGGGTGTGTTGGTTTGAGAAGGTCAGGTCAGGCCTTACAGTGTTTTTTTTTTTTTTTTTTACAGCAACAATTGATTTCATCAATCCTTCTTCTTTTCTCCTCCTCCCTGTCACTGAACAACTGAGGGAATGGAGAGAAGAGTTAGAAACGACAAGAGAAAAAGATGCTAAAAAGGATAGGAGGCAGGATCCTTCAGAAGGCATCTGAATAATTCCTCAACAACCAGGAAAAAAAATCAAGATTCTGCAAAGATGGGGTGTCACTAAAGTGTTCAGACATTTTGACTTGACATTTCTCAGATTGTCTTTAAAACAGCCAGGATGATGACAGTCTGCTGGTTGTTTAATGACTGTAAACACCTCCATGTTTGGACTAATTATACTGTAGGAGCAGATCCTTTTCAGGTGCCTCTGCCTGAAGCTGTTGATAGAAGTCTGCCTTTGTCTGCTCCTGACATATGTTTCATTATGATAATTGGAACAAATGAAAGCGATTAGGAAGTCGTTCATCTCGCCTCTGTGGATTTTAATGCAAAGAGAAAAAAGATCAGGCAGGGAGGTGTGTGTGTGGGTGGGGGGGGGGGGGGGGGAATTCC